CACCTTTTTTGTATGAGTAATACTATTAATCCGTTTAAATTAAATCTCAAGTGTTACAACAATGTTCTTGGAGGGTGTGTGGATCAAGACATACCCTTTTCCGTATTAGATTCATAGTTGTGATTGAGCTCTTACAACACACTCAAGTTAACTTTATATGATCTACACCTCACATAATTAACTCTATATTGTGCAAATAATATAAAGAGTAAATGCTATTGAATACTAATCTGCCATTTTTTTATCACTTCATGGAGGTAATGAGAGTGCTTTTGTAGTGCGTTGAAGATGGGTAGTCGACAAGATTACATGGTACCTTTCATTGATTTAGTGTTTCTCTCTCAATATCTCCCAATATCCATGCACTAAATGTTTTCATGCTAATTCCATATTTCCCTTCAAAATGGGACAAGGGCCAAACAACGGAAACACTAATGAACTCCATCTTTCTTGCTCGATTACTCCCTCACAATCATGGACAGTGTCAAGATTAATGTTTGATAAGTGTTGCCCTGTGCAAGTCTCGCTTGTCCCTTCTCGGGGCGACCATGTGAGGTGTCGCCCCCAATATCCTAAGAATTTCTAATATTCTTCAAGTAATGCTGATGATAGTGGAACTGATCTAATCTAAGGTGCAATAATGTAGCAAAATAAAAATCACTCGCTGGGATTGATTTAGGGGGGCTTTGAATAATTTTTTTAGTATGTACATAATATTCTCATGATTTTTAAAATTTGCCAAGACACAGATATTCAAAATCGCCCTTTTAGCTCATAGAAAATTTTCAATTACCTTATAGTAAAAATTAAATCAATTTTAGTCATTTAATTTTAGAATGTAAATAATAGTCTATAGGGTACTAGTATACCAGTAGTCATTTAGATTAAATGACTTAAATGTTAAATGCATAATAATATTGGGCCATAAATGTGATAGTTAAACATGTAGGGGTGTTACATAAAAAAGTTAGACAAAACGTTATTGTTCCGTATTTAGTCAATTAGGCTTTCTTAAGTCTGGAAAGATACTAAGAGCGGCGAGATCCCCAAATCCCTAATTTGCTATGCAACGGTCAAGGATTATTTATTTCTTTTGATTCTCTTCCACTTAGATCTTACTCTTATCCTCCCAAAAAAGGTACGAGTAATTTTGAATAGTATAATCTCATGTTCTTCTTATTATTTGATATTTTTTAAAAGTAATTAAGTAGTTTTCTTAATTTGTTATCATTTTCTCTCCGTTTTCGCTGATTAGCTCACTCCTAATGTCTCGTTTAGCAAAATCTGATTTAACATTTGTAGGGTAGTTGTGTACTTCATTGGGACGCTGCTTCGCCTGCTCGATGCTTCTGCCTTCAAAGTTCACAAATCAAAATCAAAGGGAAAATCTCCATGCTTGTTGCGTTGCTTCAACTTTAGCAAGTTTGTCCTAATTTTTATTATATTTTTTATTATTAAAGTTATTAATTTATGAAATTATTGCTTTTATATACACTTTTATTAAAATTAGGTTATTTAATTAGTTAGGTGTGAAATTGGGATTTGCTTATTTGACTTATTTCAAATGTCTTAAGTGACTAAGTGAGTAAGGGTATAGTTTTTATATTTTCAGTTACGAATAATAAAAAGATTGTTTCATATTTAAAGACGCCTTTAAACAGTAACGACTCGCCAACTTTAGTGCCACAAGATCTTAATGATGAAGAAGGTGACATTGCTTCTTCACAAGCGTGTGAGCTCCCATCTAAAGCCCCTAGAGTTGAAAATAACGACTCTGGTATTTTTAATTTGGAGCATGATCCTGGACCTGAAAATTATTTTGGGATCACAATCCTAATAAACAAAAAGATGTTCACCGAGCTTATAAACAATTTGGGCCATATCAACCCATTCCTCCAAGATCTTCTAGTTATATTGATAAGAATGAGCGACGATTTCTTTCAACTTGGTATTGGCTATTTCAATAGTGGCTAAAGTTTTCACATAGCAATAGTGTCGCTTATTGTTTACCATGCTTTCTATTTAATAAGCCATTTGATAGTCATGGGAACATTTTTACAGTTGAGCGGTTTCAGTTGTGGCAGAAAATTAATGAAGGATTTCAAGGATTTTTTTTAACCATCTGGGAAAATACCTGAGCTCTTTGCACAAAAAGAAGTTAAATCTGATCTTGATCTTTAGAACTCTTTGCAACATATTAAAATGATTATTGAGAAACAAACTTCACAACAAGTTTCAAGAAACCGGTTACAACTCAAAGTATCCGTTGATGCTGTCTAGTGGCTCACAATTCAAGGTTGTGCATTTAGAGGGCGAGATGAAACACTAGACTAAAAAATCGAGGCAACTTCATTGAACTAAAAACTTTTTAGCAACTTACAATGAGGAAGTGAGATCAGTTGTGTTAGATAATGCTCCAAGAAACGCCTCATACACTTCTCCAAATGTTCAAATAGAGATTCTATTTGTTTTGGTAGCTATGATCCAACAATTCTTCATACTAGTCGATGAAGCTTGTGATGAGTCCAAGAGAGAGCAAACGGCGATTGTATTGAGATTAGTTGATAAAAACGGCCTCATTCGTGAAGGATTCTTTGATATAGTTCACGTTAAAGAGATTAAATCATTAGATTTGGAAAAGGGAATTTTAGAGGTCCTCTATCGTTATTGTCTTAGTGTGAAGGATGTTCGAGCACAAGGATACGAAGAAGAAAGCATATGCATGCTGAATGGAATGATTTGCAAACCTTATTTTTACAAAATTGTCCATTTGCCTATTGTGTTCATTGCCTTACTCGCCGTCTTCAATTAACATTGGTTGCTACTCCCAAAGAGGTGATTCGGGTTAGTCACTTGTTCTCGTATTTGTCTATCATTATTAATTTGGTTTTGTGTGCTTGCAAAAGGATTGATCAACTGAGAGACTTTGAGTCATTACATATTGAGGAGATGATTACCAATGGTGATATTGAAACTGGAAAGGGGGGAAACTAAGTTGGCACTCTCCAACGTGCGAGATACTCAATGGGGTTCCCATTCAACCTCACTTTGTAGTTTGCTAAGGATGCTTATTTTACGTGTAATGTGTTGCAAGACATGATTAAAATTGGGAGCCTGACACAACGGAGTAAAGTTGGTGGAGTGTATAATGTGATGACATCTTTTGAGTTTGTATTTATTTTGCATCTCATGATTGATGTGCTTGCAGTGACTGATGATTTGTCTCGAGCTTTGCAGCGTAAATCTCAAGATATGCTGAATGCAACACATTTGGTGTCATCGAGAAAAGAGCTTCTCCAAAAATAAGAGAACATGGATGGGATCCCCTAGTTGAAAAAGTGAAGTTATTCTGTTTTAAAATTTCCAAAAGTGTGATCAACATCACAATTACACCTTGAAGAGCAAAGTGACTCCAGTCACAATGACTCCGCCGCCACAACGATCATGCCGCCATAGCGACTCCGCTGCCACAACGACTCTGCCGCTATAGTGACTGTGCTGTCACAGTGACTCCGCTCCGCCAGTGACTGTGCCGCCATAGTGAATTCTCCCCTGACCAGTGACTCTCCACGCCCCCGACCAGTGACTGTCCACGCCCCCGACCAGTGACTGTCCATGCCCCCGACTAGTGACTGCCGCCCCCCGGCCAGTGACTGCCGCTGCCCCAGACAAGTGACTATCGCTGCCCCTGGCCAGTGAGTGCCCCCGCCCAGTGACTGCCCCCGCCCCCAACCAGGAGTCGCTGGTCTCTGGCCTAACTTTGTCGCCCCCAACCAGTGACTGTCACCCCTAGTCACTGACTGACGCCCCGTGACCAGTGACTGTCGCCCCCTTCCCCCGACCAGTGAGTGTCGCCGCTGTCCACCCCTTCCATTGAACCACCTCAAACAAACCACTCCGCCCGACCATGCGACCACTGCACCCAAACCCAAGCCCAAGTCCACCACAACCTCACCACACCCACCCCAACCCTGCACTATCCCTGCCTAAGACTCTACCCTCGCCTCCCACCCTTGCCACTGAACCACCTCCGCCCTTACCGCGACCACTCTGATCGGCCATCGAGATGACAGATTTGGTACCGACGACCCTAAGGACAGCAAACCCGGCACCAGAGGCCGCAAGGACGGTAGATCCGGCATCGAAGACCCTAAATAGCAGTCATGTCCATCCAGCCGGCGGATCCAGCACTGATGGCCATCTAGGACGACGCACAAGCTAGCACAGGCGCGACCATCAGCCAGCGGAGGGCAACCATCAGCCATCAGATAGAGAGGCGCGGAAATTGAGCAACGAGGATGACGAGTAGCGATTGCAGCAAGAAATGAGAAGAAGCAGAGAACGGTGGCTTATGGAGAGCATAAGCCTGGCGAGTGAGGATGTAAGGATCCGTTGGAGGCTTTGTTGTTGGAGCTTTGTGTCTTGCATCGATGACGGTGTAGAGGAAGCTAGACTAGAGAGAGAGAGACGTGTCGGCTCTGCGGAGAGATGGCTGTACCTCGATCACATTTTTGAAAAAACACAATATGATCATATTTCTAGAATTTGAAAAGCTGTATGTAATTAACGGATCAGTATTTCAATATTATATATTTGGTAATCTAAACATTTTGACAAGTAGATGCTACATTTTCTAATATAAAGATGTCGTGTTTTCACTCTTTGGTCAAATTTTCTGATCCACCCCGAGCGCTACTTTTCGTCCAATTCTTGTGACATTTGAATATGATTATCATCTAAAAAATTTGAGTGGCTTTTATTGGAATATTGTGTATAAAAAAATGAATGGGTTGAAATAATTTGAACTTATTCTTAGAAAAAGAATAATAAATTATCAATCCACCTATGATAAACTATGATTGGCAATTTGAAAGTAGGGTTACGCTGGCGATCGGGCCGGGTTAACAAATTCCAACTCGACAAAGACAGTGATTGCGTCTGGACTCTGGACGGTCTTACGTGAATTAAATTTCTCCGAACTAAAGAAAATCTACGGCCGGCAAGGGCGTCAAGTGTGGAACCTGCGAGTAAAAAGAATTCCAAACGACAATAACTTTCTCTTTCACTCTCCCCTCTCATCCCTTCCCTGACAAACAACTCCTCATTCTCTTTCTTTCTCTCTCAACACAATTTATGCCCTTTTTTGCACCATTTTTCTTACTCTACCACGACTCCTCTGCTCATGCCACCCTTCTTTTCTCTCTCCGTTTTTTCTTGTGACTCCTCTGTTCCTGTCTTTCATTTTTCTTTCTTTCATTCATTCTATCCGGATTTATTTCTGTGCTTGATTTTGGGAGAAAGGGACAAGTGATATAGTAAAGACAAGCCAAAGGGTCGCCGGAAATGCTCCCGGAGATGGATTTGGTTACCTTCCGCAATACCCAATCCCGTTTCCGCGGATAGCTGTTTAAAAGTCCACTGTTTTATTCACCATCACTGCTTTTAGACAATACGTCTATTAAAAAATCTCTGAAATTGATGATGTTAGCTTCTGATGATATGCCCACCACGAAGAAGGAAGACGGCGAGGAGGCCGAGGAAGAGGAGGCGGAAGGTGTGATGTTCCCGGAGGTTAACATCCCCACCGCCACCAGCAACACCCTAACCTACAGTACGATGCGGAGTCCTGTTATTGTTGTTCCCCGGAGTAAATCTCAGACCGCCACTAGCAGAGTCACGCCGACTAGTACCATCGACGGTCTCACAGTCGCCGCTGCTTCTGTGGTGGAAAAGCACCTCCCGAACGGGGATCTGTATATGGGGGACTTCTCCGGAAACGCCCCGCACGGATCGGGGAAGTATCTTTGGGCCGACGGGTGCATGTACGAAGGCGAGTGGAAGAGAGGGAAGGCCTCCGGGAAAGGAAAATTTTCTTGGCCGTCGGGAGCCACCTTCCAAGGAGAATTCAGGTCGGGTCGGATGGAAGGTATGGGCACGTTCATAGGCTCGGATGGGGATACCTATAGAGGTTCTTGGTCTGCCGATCGAAAACACGGGTTCGGGCAGAAGAGCTACAGCAATGGAGATTACTACGAAGGGCACTGGAAGAGGAACTTGCAGGACGGGCAGGGGAGGTATGCCTGGAAGAACGGGAATGAGTATGTCGGTGAGTGGAAGAACGGGATGATTCACGGGAGGGGAGTTTTGATCTGGGCGAACGGAAATAGATACGACGGGAATTGGGAGTGTGGGGTCCCCAAAGGCCAGGGCGTTTTCACTTGGCCGGACGGGAGTTGCTACATTGGCTGCTGGAGCAGTAAAGATGGCAAGACTCAACTCCCCCTCCGACCGGTCTTGAACGGCACTTTTTACCAAGCTCAGAACAGTGGGGCAAACCCTAGGAATGTTAAGATGATCAGTCTGGGTTTTAATTTTAATGAAGAGGGATTCAGTGGGTTAATCCGGCCCAAGCTTGCTGCGCCATCCTCAACGGATGATAACCGCGGAGCAGTTATTGTGGGAATGGGGAAGAAGAGGATTTCAATAGATGGCGACAGGACGGATAAGAATTTCCCCCGGATATGCATTTGGGAATCCGATGGTGATGCCGGGGATATAACGTGTGACATAATTGATACAGCTGAAACTTCCACGATTTACAGGGATGGATCACCCGTGGACAGCAATGGAGCTCCCCGACCCTTCAGAACCACTCCCTGCTGTTTTAATGGAGATGTTAAGAAACCTGGGCAGACTATATCAAAAGGGCACAAGAATTATGGATTGATGCTCAATCTCCAGTTGGGCATAAGGTAATGTGTGTTGTAGAGGCTAGCAGCTGGCAAAATATCATACTGGTTAACTGAGAACCCGTTTTGACAAATACACCAACAACAGCATCCACGCCTTATTCCCAAAATTATATCCTTAAAATGAAAATTCTTAAGTTAAATGCATAATTAATGCTATACTCAGAATGAAAGTAGATATTTTTCATCTATTAATGTTTAATATCTGATATGATGCAATGTTGCTTACTTTGTAGCCTCGATCAGCTTTTGTTTGTTTTATGAAAGAGTATTTATTTTGTTTCATTTTTAATTTTTTCTTTTAGCATATTAATTGCCCCGAAATTTGGTTACCCGAGAATGGAAGTAATATTACAGTAAAAGAGTTTTAGTTAACAGGTCGTTCTAGATTGATATTTTTATTTTGTATCCGTTGATGCTGAATTATTGGTGATTACTTCTGTAGGTATTCTGTGGGAAAACGGTCTTCTTTAAAGGGCGGAGATCTTAAGCCAAGTGATTTTGATCCAAATGAGAAATTCTGGACCAGATTTCCTTCCCAGGGGTCCAAAATTACTCCTCCCCACCAATCTGGGGAGTTCTGGTGGAAAGATTATTGCCCGGCTGTGTTTAGGTATTTGGTTTTACTAACTCATTAGATCTAGAGTCGTTGTGATTTGTTGGTACATCCATAAACAATTTCAAAGTTGTGATTCTTTTATCTATCGGATATATTTCAGGCACCTCAGAGTGAAATTCCAGGTGGATCCTGCAGACTATATGCTGGCTATATGTGGAAATGACGCTCTAAGAGAGCTTTCATCTCCAGGGAAAAGCGGAAGCTTCTTTTACTTGACACAGGACGATAGATTTATGATCAAAACTGTGAAAAAGTCGGAAGTCAAGGTAAATTTGGCAGCCTATTATTTGATTTCTCAAACTAGATAATAGAAGGTGATCTTGTTATAACTAGATAATTATATCCTACTGATTTAAATGAGCAAATGCTTGTTTTGAACTATTATGGCAATAGTGCTTCCGGTATCCATCTTTGATTTTTTCCATTTTTGCTACTCTAACTAATGTGAAAAATATACTTTTAGTACTTTCCTTTGAAATTTTCGGCTTCCGACATCGAATTATTGTGACAGTAACACTTTTAGCAGGACCAACTATTGCGACACCACATTTAGTCCTCTTTCTAATTTTGAGATATGCATATAGAGTATTAAAAAAATATCACTCAGACACACTCGCACTAATCAGAGTACTGATTTGAACTCTTCAAGGACGAGTACTAAAATTGTCAAACGAAAAAAGTCATTGCCACATTATCTGAAAGTGGAAAATGTTTTTATTCATTATAGTTTTGATACTGAACCCAAATATAAACTCAGCTACATTGAAGTGCTAATTTTTTCAAAACTTGTTTCTTCAGGTGCTTCTTAGAATGCTGCAGAGTTACTATAATCATGTCTGTAAATATGAAAATTCCCTTGTGACAAAGTTTTATGGCGTCCATTGTGTCAAACCAGTTGGTGGTGTAAAGGTATGTGATCACGTTTAAATCTTTAACTCATGACCTATGTAGTAATACTGTAAAGTACTTCTCGTTTTTTTGCTGAAAAAATGTTTGTTTGGTTTCGTTTTAGACACGGTTTATTGTGATGGGCAACTTGTTTTGCTCGGAATACCGAATCCATAGACGGTTTGACCTTAAAGGATCCTCTCATGGCCGCACAACAAGTAAACCGGAGGCTGAAATTGATGAAACCACTACCTTGAAAGATCTTGACCTCAATTATGTCTTTCGCCTCCAGCAAAACTGGTATCAAGAACTAATCAAGTTAGCATCCTCCTTTGCTTTGGTTGGTTTTTTAGTCCTATATACAATTCCCTTTGTCTCATATTCATGTTTTTCAACAGACAAATCGACCGCGATTGTGAGTTCTTGGAATCTGAGAGAATAATGGATTACAGCCTTCTCGTTGGCATCCACTTCCGCGAAGATAATAATACTATAGACAAAATGGGCTTGTCTCCCTTCCTCTTGCGGACTGGTATTTCCTTGTGTTTTCCATTAATTTGTTTATTAACATACGGTCCACAAAGGGTTGTAAAATGGATACTGCTATTTGGTTTCAGGGAAAAGCGATTCATACCAAAACGAAAAGTACATGCGTGGCTGTAGATTCCTTGAAGCTGAGCTCCAGGCCATGGATATGATCCTTGCTGGCCGGTATGCTTTCATCCCCCTTTCTCACTTCTGTATGGTAGAATAATAGATGGCTTTCTTCAGTTTCTTGTAATATTACTATAAAAAGAACCCATGGAGAATGATTTAATTATACGGTAGTGGTCACTAAAGACAACAATATTTCAGACATAGCGTAGCCCTATTCACAACCAAAATAGTACTTTGCTCACTGAGTATTAAAATTCACTCGTCTGCCATTTAATTTTATTTTAGACAACAATATTTCATTCTTTACCCGGGAGGCAAACTTCATCCTGAGGGATAGGATCCGATACACCTTGCACTGTTTTCCAGTTTTCAGACACCAGTATTATTCTTTTCTGAGGATTAATGTTTTAGTTTCATCATTGTTATTCTTTTTCTAGGAAACCGTTGATCCGCTTAGGGGTTAACATGCCTGCTAGAGTAGAACCATTAGCGCGAAGGAGTGATTTTGAACAGTACTCCCCAGGAGGGAGCGTTTATAATTTGCGGCCTTCATATTGTGGCGAGAGTAGTGACGTCATCCTATACTTTGGGATCATTGACATTCTTCAAGATTATGATATTACCAAGAAGTTGGAGCATGCATACAAATCCTTTCAAGCTGATCCCGCCTCTATCTCTGCTGTTGAACCAAAGCTCTACTCGAGAAGGTTTCGCGATTTCATTGGGAGAATTTTCGTAGAAGATAGGCAGCCGAGTAAACCGAAAGATGAACACTATATTGGGGGTAAAGATTCTTCTTTGGAAGCTACCGGAGGGGTTAATGACAAATGAGCATAGATAGTCCCATGTGGAATTTTCCATTGTTAAATCTGAGGCTGAATTTTGTTTATCAGCTTCTGATGTAAGTTTATGTAAATTGTAGTAGGGAGAAGAGGGACATATGGATGGTTGGGATGTGAGTTTTTTTAGATTTTCTTTTAGGTGATTGAAGGTGCTTGAAAAATAGGATTAGGGAAACAAATGCAAGAAAAAGGAGGGTGTGGAATTGGAATAATGAAATGTACATGTAATAGGAAAAGATGAACTCGTAATATATAAAGATGAGTTTTATTTTCTTTCAAAATTCATTCGTCCATGTCATTATTTTAGCATTCATTGGTCCATGCATATTGCAACTACTTATTTTAATATTTTAATTGGTCCATGAGACATTATTGTGGAGTGGGATCAAGATTGGAATTGAAAATAATTAGTCTTTTTTCATAATTTAGTGATCTTGAAAAATTTACCATATTTTTTCATAGTATTAAGATAAGTGATTTCAAATTGTTTGAAGGGTTTTTGTCATTGTAAACGTTCTCGGTAGAAAAACAAGGTGAGAATAGAAAGATTTTAAATATGGGGTAAAAGTTCAATTTGATTTAGGGAAATTACCCAAAATAAGAGCAAATGACATTTGGAATTCCAAAAAATAGGACTACTATGTTTTTCTTCCCGAAATAGGAGTTATTACTGTCATGTATGAAAAATACTGTCATGATTGAAAAATACCGTCATTAATTATAATAAATAATGTCATGTTAAATGTACTATACTGCAATTATTTAGCACTCACGACTACAAGATGACGGTAAATACTGCCATGTTAATCTCATTTCGGGAATAAAAACAAAATAGTCCTATTTTGTAATTTCAAACTTCATTTACTCCTATTTTGGGAAATCTCCTTTTAATTTAACTACAGGATAAAAACCAAACTTTGGGGCTCTCCCTCTTCTCTTTTATTGTGCATTTGGGGTCAGAGTGGTCATTTGAAATGCTTTACACAGTTTTTGTTGCATTTAAAGGACCCTTGGGGATAAAGAAGAGTTTATGGATACATGAAAAGGGGAGAAAGGTATATTGATGATGTGATGGACGGCTGTTGTTTTGGTCGCTCTTTTCTCACTTTATTTACTGCCACAAGTCTCTCTTTTAACTGTTTAGGGTTTTTGAACTGCAAAATGTTTGGGGCGTATTTATTTCACAAGTTGATAAGGATCTTTAAGTGGAGGGGAATAAGTGGAAACAAAAATATTGTTGTCTCCCTTTCGAGCAAAGAAGATTCTTGGTCTATATATAGTTAAAACTGAAATAAAAGCCGAATACTTTTAATCCAGGTGAAGTGAAAACTTCAAAAAGTAAAAAATAAATAGACCGATTCTGATATTTTGACTAAAATAAAAAAGACCTCAGTATGTTAAGTTTGTAGATACTCCTTCTGTCCCGATTGATCTTGTTTTTTACTCTTTTGCACATCTTAGTTTCTTTTAAGTTAATGGAAAAAAAGTAAAAGTAAGGATAAATTTGTCACTTTATTCTTATTTACATATCTAAAATAGAAAGTGGAAAACCATTTTGAGACAATCAAAATAGAAAATTTTGCAAATCAAATTGGGACGGAGGGGGAACATGATATTGGAAAATGAGCTAAATTAGCACGAAAATTTAATACTCGTTCCATTTTACTTGCTTGCGTACTTTCCCTTTTATTTTTTCTTAAAATAATTGTCATGTTTGGTGACAACATTTTTAAATAAGACATTAATTAATTTTATTTAGGTAAAAACGTAGTACTCATATTTTGAAATATCCTATTCTTTTCTCTTCGTATTTTAAAATTTGCCACACGTACTTTTCTTTTTGATTGTATTTAAATATTTGTTTCACTTTTCTCTTTTTATACATTTTTCTTTTAAAATATTTAATCGCTCTTGTTTTTATCCCATCTTCATGCTTTTACACTTTCTCCTACTTTTTGAATACTACTCCCTCTGTCCTTTAAAACTTTGCCACTTTTCCTTTTAATCAATTATTTTGTGTTTTTTGTTATTTCTCTCTCCTCTGTACAAACCTCAACCACACAGTTTTTACTTTATTATTCTTCGTGTCGGGCAACTTTGGCAAAGTTTTAAGGGAGGTAGTATTCAATATCCTTACAATTTCGTTTCTTAAATAATGTGCTAAAATTTACTGTACCAATCTTTAAAATACACAGTTTTATTTTTACTCTTGTTTATGACAAAGTTTTTATGTAGGGTTTTTAATTATTTTTTTTTAGCTCCACTACATACAAAATAACCTATTTGGTAAATTAAAATCTACAAGTATTTTACTCCGTATATTACTTCTTATTCTTTTACATGTATTTTTTTCACCAGGTCAACTACGTCTCTGTTCTCGGTATATACTTATTCTTTTACTATTATCAACTATATGAGTTGGGTGTCGGTGTATTTTCTTTTTTATCTTTATTTCCTAATAAGCAATTAAGATTTAAGCATGTATATAGGCTATGCCTAGAGTTAATGTGAACTTTATGCTAGGGCGTAGGAACTATAGAAAAGATGATGCAATACATTTATTTCGCTCAAAACTCAACGGATGCATTACTCGATCCTATTTAGAGTCAATATTCTAAAGGGAAGAACTCACTGATTTTGTTGAAATTTATAAAGTTATTGTTCAAATGATTGTATTGACTGATTCTGCTGATTTATAAAAAATTATATTTAAAACATTTACTATAAAAGATACTCCATCCGATCATAAATAAAGTTCAGTGTTTGACTTCACATAAATTAAAGAAATAAATTTGACTTTAGTGTAGAGTACACTGTTGTGACACTGTTTGACACTGTTTTGATGTAGATAATTTGCCAAATAAGTAAGGGAGAAGACGTGTGAACTTTATTTTGGACCGGTCCAAAAAGAAAAGTGTGAACTTTATTTAGGACCGGAAGGAGTAAAACATTACTCCCTCATCCCCAAATTAAGTTTCTACTTTCCTTTTCGGGATGTCCCAAACAGGTTCACACTTTCTTATCTGGCAAACAAATTTACACCAAAACAATGCAAAACAGTGCGAAAATAGTGCAAAATAGTGTCAAACAGTGTCACAACAATGTATTCAACAGTAAAATTTACCCCTCAGTATATTTATTTCCTTAATATGTGTGAAGTCAAACTAGGAACTTGATTGAGGGACGAAGGAAGTATGCGAAAAATAGCTAAAATTATCCTCTACAGTAGCTTCAACAGATACAGGCAGAAAAGTAACTTCAACCTTACTTTTTCTTATTATTACACAATCCAACGTGTGAAATAAAAAATTACGTATTTGATGAACAAATTGACTGATAAATTTGATAAACAGAAAAAAGAGAGTCACCAGACGAGCTCTTAATTATCACCGGATTCAACAACCAAAGTGAGCATCTTTATTGGTTTGATCAAATATAAGCAATTTAGAAAAATTCAGAAGATACTATATTTTTACGATTATAAAGTACACATATACATGTTTACGAAGAGACTCGTTCAAATCGGATTAAATTTTAAACGTATAGATTAGAAAATTTCATTTCAATTAATAATAACATCCTCACATATTAAAAAGTACACATGCTACATTCTACGTGGTAGACAGTTATCTTGGATCCGTTGAACACACGCCTAATGTAAAAAGTAAAGTAATTTATCAGTGTTTTCAAAGAAAAGTAATTTGTCAATGTTCTAGGCAAAAAATATGTATGACCTTGGCGCGCGTTGAGAGTTTGTATTAACGTTCATTAATTTATACGGAGTAATAATGTAGTTCATAAGAAGTTAGATATAATTAATGAAATACTCCGTAAGATATTTTTCATCGTTTAGTAACACTAAAATTGGTTGAATCAGCTATCTCAAAAAAAATTGGTTGAATCAGTTGATTTTATTGGTATTTATGAAATTCTGATTGTAGTGAAGAGATCGATTGTTTCGGTCGAATTATGAAAAAACTTATGTTCAAAACAAACTCATATTGCATTAATAATATGAAGAAAAATTCATATGGAAGTAGTTAAAATAACGCTCTCAATAACTTTCCGGATCCATTCAGGAAAAGTAACTTTAATTATTTTGAATATTACACAATTTAAAGCGTAAGATTAAAAGTTACACGCATATATTTAATAAAAAGTTGGATAATTAGTCGAAAAAAGAAAGACGAAACGAGCTCTAAATTTGAAACATTTAACTCGTTTTTTGCACGACGATTTCTTTGTTTATCATTAACCATGGCTGGTTTGGAAACTTCCACAGGTTCTTATGCGCGAGACACGGGTCCTGATTGTATGGCCGAATAGATAAGAGGACTATAAATATTTAAGTATATATATATATATAAATATATACCCTCTTTAATAAATGTTTTTTGGTTATGCTACGTGTATACATTGATTCTACAAGATATGTATGTACAGCGCTTACTAAAAGATAAGTTTTTTTATTGACATGAATGTTTTTATTGTGTGTTGCTATTTCACACTCGTAGACAACTACTGTGGCGAAAACCCCTGTTTTTTTTGGTTTATTAGGACATAAATGATGTTCACATAAAAATATTGTATTTCAAACAAAATTATCATCAAATGCAATCACCCTTGGTGAAGAACGAAACTTCCAAATTTATATTTATCCACGTATTCTCTCCGGTCCTAAATAAACTTCACATTTTCCTTTTTGGGTAGGTGTAAAATAAATTTCACACTTCTTCTCCCTTCCTTATTTGGCAAATTATCTACATCAAAATAATGTCAAACAGTATCACAACAGTGTACTCTACAGTAAAGTCAAATTTATTTCCTTAATTTGTGTGAAATCGAAGTTTATTTAAGACCGAAGAGAGTATTTATTAGGGCATCACTTCCTGTTCACACCTTTTGATACCTTTTGTTCCCAAAAACTAACTTATTCCATATACTAGTATAAAGTTTTAAGCATTGTAATTTGGATACAAGTCCTCTCATCCCCCTCCAGACCTGTTAGAAGACCAGTTCTAATAGGGTCAGAGTTCCACTTTCAATCTGTCAGCATGTGATTAAAGTCCAACTTACATCCTCCTATCTAATCGATGTTGAGAGCCCTCACGAATGAGGTGTTATGCTTTTTTAGAAGACCAACTCTTAGAAACTCTATCAAAGAATGATGAGCGAATAAACCACATATACTTCCTCCGGTTCTTATTTAAGTTCCCAGTTTGACTTCACACATATTAAGAAAATGAATTTGACTTTACT